TATATATATATATATATATATATCCCGTACTTCTCTTTTAACTCAATGTATTATTTATCCTTACGTTTTAGAAGTAATTTTGTTATGTTGTGTTGTATTTTTATAAAAAAATATTATTTTGATAAATATTTACAAAACTATTGATTAACAGCACTATCTTTTTGTTTTAGTGGTCTTGTGCTTTCAGAAAGTATATGGTTTGGTGGTATTTTTAAAAAAAATATTTAAAATTGTAAGAGAAAAAAACTGCAAAAAATTATAAAAAAGTTAAAAATAGCAAAAATGATCTTGCCACCTGAGGGTAAAAGTGGAGAACAGGGCAAGGGCTAATTCACTACCGTAGTTGTGATATGGCCCCCTTGTGAAGTGGGCTGAGCCGTAGTTATTTCCAAAGTTTATGAAATAACAGGTTCTGCTGTAAAAAAAAGATTTGAGGCCATCTCCAGCAGTGATCTACAGGAATCTGTTTTTTAAAATATAGCAAGCTCACCCAGGTTTTATAATAGTGTGTTTGATTACCGCCATGAGGAGTATTTTGTCTACTTGCAGTATCTATTTGGCCAGATGTGGTAGTCTGGTGGTCCTCCAATATTTCAGGATCAGACTTGTAGCTCTATTTAGGAAGTAAGGCATCTGTCATTTTTCATATTTGGGAACAAACATGGGAGTACTGTGGTATAAAATAACCCAGGGATCCTGTGGAAGAGTCACAGTAGTAAAGATCTTAAAATTAACAATCTGTACCCCAAAAAAAAAAAAAGATTTATAAGTGAGCAATCCACCATATATGGGAAAGTGTTCCCAGGACTAGTCCACATCTCAAGCACAACAGAGAGGTCTGAGAGTCCCATCTACTTAGCCTACTGGGTCTCTCTTCGTGATCAAACCACTAAAGTATGAAGACCCAATGCAACTAACTTAGTCATAACTGGGTCCTTGTACATTAGTTGATGAAAAAACAGCTTAAAGCTTAACTTCAGGAAAACTGTTAAAAACAGATGAATTACATATATTAGAGCTGTTTCACCTACTGAAGGATTGGCATTTTTGTCCAGCCAGTTCTGAGATTTACACAGTTGTGCTATACAGCACAATTCTGCCTGTCAGGGAAGGGATTTTCTTTCTATCCACATTCCCTGTTACCACTCCTATCAGCACACACCCTGTATTGCAACACACCTGACTAGCCTCTTGTGCTGCTTATTGCTCCCCTTCTCTGAGCTGTGCTCTATAATAGACTGTAAGGAGCCGATACCAAGTCAAGTTCAAGTACTTACACTGCACGCATTAAAAAAAATACATTTAATAATGTATTAATAAATACAAAGCTGCATTAACTTGTGCTTTTTGTATATACCAGGAGTTCAGCTTTAAAACATGAATTGTCATTATCCTTCCAGGCTATCTTTCTCAAACTGTTAGAACTAAAAGTATGGTGTAATAATTTTTGAGCAAATAGCTAAAATGCTCATAAATAATACAAATCATCCCATAAAACTGTTCTGGGATATACAGCATGTTACCAAATAAGTATAGCCATAAATACCTGCAGTAACTAGGCAAAGAGCTGCCTTAAGTGGCCCTATTTTCATTTTATTAATTATTTATTACAGGTACTTATATATATACCATCACTTTACGCAGTGCATTATATACAGTCATGGCCGAAATTGTTGGCACCCTTGATATTTTTCCTGAAAATCAAGTATTTCACACAAAAAAGGTATTGCATTAACACATGTTTTGCTATACACATGTTTATTCCCTTTGTATGTATTGGAACAAATATAAAACAGAGGCAGAAAAGCAAATATGACATAATGTCACACAAAACCCCCAAAAATGGGCTGGACAAAAGTATTGGCACCCTTAACTTAATATTTGGTTGCACACCCTTTTGGAAAACATAACTGAAATCAGTCGCTTCCTATAACCATCAATAAGCTTCTGACACCTCTCACCCGGAATTTTGGACCACTCTTCCTTTGCAAACAGCTCCAGGTCTCTCTTATTGGAAGGACACTTTTCCCAACAGCAATTTTAAGATCTCTCCACAGGTGTTCAATGGATTTAGATCTGGGCTCATTGCTGGCCACTTCAGAACTCTCCAGCGCTTCTTTGCCATCCATTTCTGAGTGCTTTTTGACGTATGTTTGGGGTCATTGTCCTGCTGGAAGACCCAGGATCTTGGACGCAAACCCAGCTTTCTGACACTGGGCCCTACAGTGCGACCCAAAATCCTTTGGTAATCCTCAGATTTCATGATGCCTTGCACACAGTCAAGGCACCCAGTGCCAGAGCAGCAAAACAACCCCAAAACATCATTGAACCTCCACCATATTTTACCGTAGGTACTGTGTTTTGTTCTTTGTAGGCCTCATTCCGTTTTCGGTAAACAGTAGAATGATGTGCTTTACCGAAAAGCTCTATCTTGGTCTCATCTGTCCACAAGACGTTTTCCCAGAAGGCTTTTGGCTTACTCAAGTACATTTTGGCAAACTGTAGTCTTGCTTTTTATGTCTCTGTGTCAGCAGTGGGGTCCTCCTGGGTCTCCTGCCATAGCGTTTCATTTCATTTAAATGTCGACGGATAGTTCGCGCTGACACTGATGCTCCCTGAGCCTGCAGGACAGCTTGAATGTCTTTGGAACATGTTTGGGGCTGCTTATCCACCATCCGGACTATTCTGCGTTGCAATCTTTCATCAATTTTCCTCATCCGTCCACGACCAGGAGATTAGCTACAGTGCCATGGGTTGCAAACTTCTTGATAATGTTGCGCACTGTGGACAAAGGCAAATCTAGTTCTCTGGAGATGGACTTGTAACCTTGAGATTGTTGATATTTTGCCACAATTTTGGTTCTCAGGTCCTCAGACAGTTCTCGTCTCCTCTTTCTGTTGTCCATGCTTAGTGTGGCACAGACAGACACACAATGCAAAGGTTAAGTGAACGTCTCTCCTTTTTATCTGCTTTCAGGTGTGATTTTCTATTGCCCACACCTGTTACTGCCCCAGGTGAGTTTACAGGAGCATCACATGCTTGTAACATTCTTATTTATCCGCAGTTGTGAAAGGGTTTGCCAATACTTTTGTCCAGCCCATTTTTGGAGGTTTGTGGGACATTATGTCGAATTTGCTTTCTTTCCTCCCTTTTTTTGTTTTGTCCCAATACACACAAAGGGAATAAACATGTGTATAGCAAAACATGTGTTAATGCAATACGTTTCGTAAAAGAAATACATGATTTCCTGGAGAAATATCAAGGGTGCCAACAATTTCGGCCATGACTGTATATATTTTTGTATATTTACAACAGACCTTAACTCTCAAGGAGTGTACAATCTAAGGTCCTTAACTCACATTCATACACATACTAGGGCCTATTTAGACAGGAGCCAATTAACCTACCAGCATGTCTTTAGAGTGTGGGAGGAAACAGGAGTACCTGGAAGAAACCCACGCAGTCAAAAGGAGAACAAACTCCATGCAGTTAGGGCCACAGTTGGGATTTGAACCAATGACTCTAGACCTGCTAGGTGGGAATGTAAACTACTTTGCAATTGTGTTGCTATTTAGCTTTGTAGAGCTATCAGACCTGGAGTCAAACCTGCAGTACTTTTCCACTGCTAACTATTTTCAATGGAAGAATGGAATGCAAAAAGTTAAATACAATACATTCGTCATTGATATGATCTGCTCTTCAACACTCTGATCTTGCTTCATATGAGATTAGTTGTCTAAGAGTGAAAATGTACGGTTGTCATATTTTAGGGTATGTGGGAAAGTAAAAGCTGCACATTATTGTACATACAAGGGATGTTTTTTTTGTCAATGGATGTTTGCACTTAAAGCAGAACTGCAAATAAAAAGAGAAAAGGGAAAAGAGAAATTTTTGGTCCAATTATGCATTTATTAAAAGGTAAATGTGCCTTAAATAAAAAAAAACAATAGGCATTCAAGAATTCTAGAATAGTCCCTAAAATAATAAAAAATTCTAAACCTTCAAATTAAGCAGACTCAGAGAAAAACAGATGAAGGAAATGTAATAAAAAATAATTTAACAAATATGCTCCTGGATATGTAAAATATACTGTATACAGCAAACCTTTTATGCATCATTAAGAAAAAAACTATTGATATTTTAGCCTAAATAAAAACAATACATTTATGATCATTTCAAATGCAAAAAATATAATATAAAAAATAAATGTGAATGTATAAGAAAGTGTATCATGTGGCTGAGGTGTCCATTTATGACACAGAGAATAGCTGCAATCGCAGTTATTCTCTGGTCATTCACAGTTTATGACACTCAGGAGATCAGCAGAGAACATGTTCAGCTCTTCACTGGAGATCTGTGTTCTCCCTCCAGATTCTCCAGCCCAGAGCTGGAGAATTGGAGGGGACCGCAAACTAAGCAGCGATAATTTACCTCTGCTTAGTAAACTGATCTTTTACTGTAATCTCGGGAGATTATAGTAAAATCAGCTGTTTTCCACCATGTGTAGACCGTTCTCCAGCGTTTGTAGATCGTTCTCCCTTTGTTTGGAGAACTGCTTCATAAAGCATTCACAGGAGAACTGTGTTCTCTGAGAATGCCGGAGAACTGAGTAGCAATCATTTATCGCTGGTTCATAAACGGACACCTGAGTTGCTAAACAAATATAACTTGTTTCATTAGCAAAAGGAATGTTTACCTAAGTAAATAAGGTGAATTACAGTAAATAGTGAATAAGGTAATACTGATGATCTCTTCAATCACACCCAAGCAAAAATCCTGTTTTTTTCCATTTTTACATGACTGGGTATTCAAGGTGAACAGATGTTTAACTTATTTATACAAACCTAAGTTAACAGTCCCTATTAACAATTCATCCCTAGTGATTGTAATACTCTATATCTGTTCATAAGTTTATGTGTGCATGTGGTCAGTCCATTATAATAGTGTATTATAATTGTATTGTTGACTTAATCCAATGAGTATGTATATTGTATTTCCAGGGTGGCTGTCCGGTGGACAAGACACACAGAAATCAATGCAGGGCATGCCGTCTGAAGAAATGTTTAGAAGTCAACATGAATAAAGATGGTAATTATCATAACAGTTCACTAAATGTCTCATTCCCATTAATAGGACAGTGATATCATTTCTGTCCTAAATATACAATCATCTATTGTCACTCATATTACAAAAAGAAAAAAAAAATCCAATTATAAGATTTTCTTAGCAATCAGTGAGACAGTCATTGGTATTTTTTTTTTAACATAAGCAAAATCAAAAGCATTATGCTTAAGAACAGAAGCCTACATTAAAATGATTGACATAGCTCTGGTAAAATATAGATTAATGTCGTTATTTAGAAAGGGAAAATCATAAGGAAGAAATGTTCTCTCAAGGACACAGTATGAGGGAAGATTTTCATGATTTTAACCTTTTAATGAAATGAAGTATCTAAGAGCCTGCTCTTTGCATCAATTTTCCAAATGAGTTTGATTAGTACTGAGATGATTACTGGATTGATTTCAGCTGTTCAACATGAACGGGGACCAAGAACATCCACCATAAGGAAGCAAGTGGCTCTATATTTCAGAGGACATAAAGATGTCAATGGAACCACGCCTCACTTTCCTTCAGCAGCCTTACCAACACCTACCTTTTTCACCACTGTTAGCCAGTTGGAGCCACATAACCTAGAGCTGGCAGCAGTATCCACCACTCCCGAGAGACAGACGTTGATTGGCCTGGCACAGCCAACCCCAAAGGTAAGTCACACTCTATCTCAAAATCAATTCTGTACAAGTTAAATTATTCAGTGAGATATAAATACTATGAAGAAAACACTGCAGCTGGGCTAAAATGGGAAAGCAATTCAACATAAAGCAAATCTAAACCCAAAAACACAACTGTAATACTGTATATTGCAGCTTACTAGTCCTTAAACATGGTGGCTGCCGTTAGTTGTCTTTTTAGGCTTGGTAATCTTGCAAAGAGCCCATTTCCTGTGCCTTTGTCTTTACACTCATGTCACCAGTTTATCAATGGAGGGAGCCATGGTTTTCACACAATCTCCATTACATGATGAATTTATGAGACTAGTATTTTACACAAGAATGATAAGGATGCTTGTGCTTTCTTTTCAGTCAAGATCAATAGATAATTCTTCAGAGCTATATAGCAGCATTCTGTTGACGTAGTCCCCACTCCCTACTCTCATAGGACCATGTATCTACAAGTTTGTACCCCCTTTTAGCCATAGTGTCCCCATTTTTTCCACTTCTTAAACTCTCATTGGACAGGTAAAAAAAGGTAGCACTCTAACCAAATAATCAATAATCACAAAAACCATCATCAGAAAATAAAAAGAAAATATACATTAATAAAAAAGAAGAAAAAAGTGGAAAAAAGTATATCAAAACCAAAAATATAATCTTAATTGCAAATAAAATAACATAAACTCGTTTTTATCAAACAAATGAATTATCCAGTATCATAAAAAAGAAAATATATACCCTAAAAAATCAATAGCAAACACAAAAAAAAAAAGTCCAATAATAGTGTCCTTAGGTATAATAAATATACATGAAAATTTTTTTTTTACATCAATCAAATTCCAATGTGCAATTTAATAAAGAAAAAGAAGGTGTTAACTTAAACTTCAGTGCTCCAAACTGTTAATTCTTGAAAAATCCACCACCAGATGAATTAAATAAACTCGCCAGAGCAACATGCCGGTCAAATTATAAACCAGCACACATGCTTTCACTCTGCGAGCAACGATCTGCAGATTGATGGCCGGCAATTGGGAGGCGATTCAATGAGCATTAAAGCGGAGTTCCACCCATAAGTGGACGATCCGCTTTAAAGATTGGTCCCCCGCTCCCCATTAAGGATTGGCACCTTTGGGGAGCGGGGGGGGATGGGTACCCGAATCTGACAGGTAACCACTCCCACTTCCGCTGCGATCTCCTAGGTGATCGGAAGCGGAAGTTGTCCTCCTACCCTCCCTTCCTGAAGTCTTGTGGGACACGTGACAGGACCCAGGAGATGATGGGGCCATTCAGGAAACACAACGCTACTCGCGCATGCGCAGTGGGCACCTGGCTGTGAAGCCGCAAGCTGTCATAGCCGGTGCCCACGCTGAAGATGCTGGCGCCTGGAATACAGGATGGCCGGTGAAACGGGCTGTGGCAGGGGCAACACGGGATCGTGGGACAGGTGAGTGGCTTTTTTTTTAAAAGTCAGCAGCTACAGTTTTTGTAGCTGCTGACTTTTTTATTTTTTTACAGAGTGAGTGGAACTCTGCTTTAATATCTTCTTGACATCAAACACACTCATAAAGGAAGAGACAGGGAACTAATAGTGTAAAATCGTACGGCAAATTTATTCATAAAAACAGTCCATAAATTACACTTACATTCCATATTGTCAAAGCCGACACTAGCTTGAACAGCGTATACAGCACAAATTCAAAAAAAGCCCGCATCAGTGTCAGCTGATGCCCTCAGCTCTCTGGGCGTGGTCACGTCACTCCAAGGCTCCACCCAAAGTGAGTAATGGCACGAGTCTTATATTTCCTTTCTCCTGATAGTTTGAAAAGTGAACACATGTGGAAACTCCATTTGCCATTTTTACTCCTGACGCTTTGGGGTCCCTTGGATAGGACAATTTGGACAGCTCTTAGGATTATCGAGGAACAGGGGTTACATGCAGTTATGCTTGACTTAAGAAAGCCAAAGACTGTTTACAAATTGATTAGAGATGAGGACATTGTGGAAAATGTTCCTGACCTACCTCTACCTTCTTGCAAAGGAATGTTTATTTAAAGAAACTCACCAACAAAGGCACAAAGATCTGGCATGGATGGCGATCCAAGGGAGGTAGCCATTGAAGACTTTCATGCATTCCAGACCTGAGCCAGATACAGGCACTGCCCCTTTTGCATCATCCAGGAGGAAACTGCGTTGCATGTTTTCTAGGAGTGCCCCTCTGGTACCATAAACAGCCCCCACCCACGTTGGAGTGCTAAATGGACTATTTTGTGGTGCATTTTCACAGTAGGACATTGATTGTGCCTGGGGGAGTGATGTATTGCTTTAAGGGCGCTTTGTAGTGCACAAGAAAGCTCCTCGTCTACCAGAGGGAGAGGATGCCCTTTGAAGACAGTTGCAGACTGGTCCACAGTCTGTTCAGAGACTATAACCTTATGGACTTATGGGGAGGTCTGACGAAGATTTCCCCTTCTCCCATGTCAACTGTCATGTCATTAAAGCTAGTGATTGTTAAGAAAGATGATAAATCATTGAGAAAAAAGATCCTTATGATCTGGAAGAGTCCACAGAACGTCCATTATGAGCCTGTTTAGGTTGACATACCACAGCCATGTGTGCCAGTCAGAAACAATGAGGACCACTGGAATGCCATCTATTTCCAGTTCAGAAGAGGAAAGGTACAGATAAGAGTGTACTGATCCTACATTGCCAATGGAGCATCCACCTTTTCTGCTAGAGGATTCCTGTAACAGAAAAACCTGTCCAGTTTGTGGCTGAACCTGTAAATCAGGACATCCACATCCAGTGTCCCCTCCTTCAACATGTTTCCTGAAACATCTCCATGTGTAGGTGATGAAGCCCTGCTGTCAATTGTCTAACCCTGGGGTGTATACAGTGGACAAAGTGAGAGCGTGAGGTTTTGCCCAAGACGGGATCCAAACTACCTATTTTACCGCAGCAACACTTCTGATTGTTTACTAATAGGTGAAATACACCACCACTGTTGCATTGTCATAGCATTTGCAACTTAATCCAGATTACCTTCCAAGAAGATGATCCATTGCTGCAGAGATAGTCAAATCACCTGAAGTTCCAGGATGTTACTTGGGAGAGAAGACTCCAATGAACACCGGGTCCCCTTCATCAACAGATTACCAAGTACTCCTCCCCAGCCTGGCATCCATCATGAGGATCTTCCAGAAGATGAGAAGGAGGAATTCCCCAATTACAGAACTGAATTCCTGAACCATCGGGCCAGAGACAATTTACTTTTCAGCTTCTCCAGGAACTTGATTGACTTTTCCAGAACTGGATTCCTGAGCCCTCAGGCCAGGGACAATCTGCTTCCCATTCTCTCTAAGGACTTGATTGACTTGTCCCATGACTACATAATGTTGCACTGAAAAGATCTGTATTAAAACTGGGCAAAGTAGAATGCCTCAAAAGAGACTGCCATCAGGTTCAAAACTCTCAAGCAAAAGGGGAAAGCCACTGGACTCTTGAACTAGGAAGTCTGACACTGGAATCGGAGTGATCTGAAGTTTCTCCTGTGGAAGAACAACTCTGGCCTAGGACTAGACTAGACTGAGGTAACCACCCAAACTGTTGTATCATCTGGATAGTTAAAGTCAAGATGTTCAACAGAGCCCATGCTGACTGTTTCCTCAATAGGAGGTCATTTAAGTATCAGATAAAGGGGATGCAAAGGGAGAACAGTAGCACTAAAACTGGGGCCAGCAATTAGCAAACAAATAAGCTGCAGATGAAAAGGATGAGTGGCACAGCTAGTAACTGGCAGTGTAGGGGCCCCACATTAAAGCGTTGGAAATGCTGATGCTCTGGACAGGCAGCTACTCATCCTTAATATCCACAAAAGCCAGAAAATCTCCTTGTTGCAGGAAGATAGAGGCCAACATGATACATTTTATCTGTAATACCTAGAATGAAACCATTCAGACTTTTGATTTGCAAGATGGGGCGGCTGCCCCTTTGGATATGGGAAAAGTAAATGGTCTATAGAAAATAATATCTGCTCATTGAGGCAAATTATCTACATAGGCATATTATTTTCTATAGATTTAAGAAACATTTACAATTCAGGTATTTCTTTCTTACTTTTACTTCTTTTATTGGCAATAGTTTGATTTGTTTGTTGGGAACAAGACATTAAATTGTCCTGGGACAGTAAACAAGTGTGGTTTAGTATTATAGATGAATTTTTAATGTAGTGTTTGTCATATACTGCATCAATATGTAACTGAAATGTCTATTTTCCATTTTTATCTAGTACCCACATGAAGTGAATGGAGCTCCTTTGTATCTTTATGAAGTGGCCACTGAATCTGTCTGTGAATCTGCAGCCCGGCTCCTATTCATGAGCATTAAATGGGCAAAGAGTGTGCCAGCCTTTTCTACACTGTCTCTACAAGATCAAGTGAGTTTAGAGTCATAAAACAGTATTTTCAAAATGAGGGATTCTTTATTTATCTGTTTTACAATGCTGTTGTAAATGGTGTTAAAGGAAACCAGTAATGAAAGAGCTACATAAACTGTCCCTGCAAATCTTTTGCTAGTTGCCCGAGTGTCATACTGACACTCTAGCTTTATAACTTTCTGAGCCACTAGAAAAGGTATTTAGACTAGGAGTTGCTGCTTACAGGCTTTGGGTAAATCTCAGAAACTATAGAAGCTACATAGCCAGGCATCTAGCATTTCCAGAGATCAAGAGTAGCAGAACCAATTGTTTTAAAACCAACACTGGTCAAAATTGATGCAATGCATGGAAAATAAAATATTTATTTGAATACAATCCCACCATCATTTTGGTGTGATATGCAGTGGCAAATCATTAAGCTAAAATGTAAGAAGTAATCAGGTTTGTAAAAGGTATAATTGATAAGTATTGCATTTTACAATATTATGTATTTTTATTATTATGGTTTATTTTTGATGCAAGAATGCAGTTCCACATTATTATGTATTTAATAAAAATGTATACTGTATTTCTAGTGAGCTCATATTTTAAGGTCACTGTTTTCCCTAAAGTAAACCTTGATAAATAACATTTCTACAAGCTTTCTATTACATATTATTAGGATTGTATTAAAGGAGAAGTTTGGAGTCACCCCCTTGTCTCTGTTCCCAACCCACCTCTTACCACTATCCCTTGGTTCCACCCCCTACCCACCTCCCAGTACCACCCCTTATAGAGAATTCAGAACCAAGTAACATTTTGCAGTGCTAAGTAATGAGTGTGGAAATTGTTAATGATAAGAAAAGAAAACCAGTAAAATAGATCCCCTGCAGCTAGCAACAATAGACCCCCACCAGCATCAATATTCCCCCTCCCAGCAACAATAGACCCCCCCTACACAATAATAGAGTCCCCGAGCAACAATGGACCCCCTGTAACAAAATACCACCCCAGCCCCAATAGACCCCAAAGCAGCCACAACAGATCTCCTAGCAGCATGCAACAATAGACCCCCCAACAGCCAGCATCTTGAGACCCCTCCATCAACAGTAGATCCCTCCCAGCAACAACTGACCCCCCAGCATCATATGTCACCCCTAGCAACAATAGATTCCCTACCAGCAACAATAGACCCCAACACAAACATAGATCTCCCAGAAGCCAGCATCAATAGACCCTCCAGAACACCCCAGCATATTCTTGCCTTTACATATATTCAGTGCTCGAGGTGCTGGAACTGCGTTCTCCCACATTCCCGCTGAAAAAAAACCCCTGTACTTACCTCTATGCTGGATCATTGGTCTGATGCTGTAGCTGTCCCACGTCGGCTCTAAGACTTAGCGATCACATGGCTGCTGATTGATCAGTTCTCAGTCTGATTGGAGTGGACAGAAGTCAGTCACCGTTCTCCACTCTGCTCCTGTAGCACTGGACAGGGATGGGGCTGGGCACAGCTGGCTCCAGCTCTTAGCCATGCACTGAGAGGTAGAGCTAGCTGTCAATTAGGCAGCTGTGTGGATCCTGATAAAATTGTTGGGATCTTTCCAGAACCTGGAGTGCCTTTAACACTTCAGCTGATAGAAGGCTTTAGCCCGCTGTCAGCTGACTCTGGGTCACAGGACAGCAAAAGTAAGTGCACTCCTGTGCAAGGCTGCTGTTAGAAACCATGGGGCCCAATACAGCCAACCTGACATGCGTCCCCCCCAAGTAAACACAGTTTACTATGCTTATGAATGAACACAGTGAGTAATTGGTATTGATCACTCCTGTGTATGTTCAGGAAAGGAAGCGGCTGGTAAATGTGACATAGTTACTGGACCCTTCCTGAAGGATGCTATTGTGTGCTTGCAGCTGTCGGTGGGAAGCAGAGGAGGGAAGCCGGCAACACTGCGGGGTGTGGGGGCACACACGGGAGGGCCTGGACAGTGGGGGGAAACATATGGTGTACAGGAAGGGTGATGGGTGAGGCGGGGGGGCAATTACTGGAAATGATTCCCTATATGGCTCTCTACAGCAGCTGAAAGCCAGTGGGAGGGAGAGGAGAAGACAGCTTTCAGCTGCTGTAGAGAGAGCTGTTCAGGGGATCGGTTCTAGTAATCCCCCCCCCCCCATGCAGTGCTGATCACCCTCCCTGCCCACATCTGATTCTTCCAGCTGCCTGGGCCCCCTGCTGGCCTGGGCCCCATACAGGAAAACTGGTGGTACCCCCCTATCCACAGCCCTGCTCCTGTGACCTACAAGAGAAGTTTTGCCACAAATGCTTTGGCCATACTTCTCTTTTAAATATAGAGATTTGTAGATCACCCACTAGAGGGGGCTACGGTGCAATTACTCTTCTCTAACAATTGTAATGGAGATACAACATGACCCTCACAGGGGATGTGTGAATTGTTTGCAAAGTGATAGCTGACTCATAGACCTATATTGTGAGAAAAGCACAACCATTATGCAGCACTGCAAAGCAAGATGTGTAATGCAGACATATAACATCCCACATGTGTATATATAAATACAAAATATACATAAAAATATATATTTTTATAACATTAAACATTAACCCTAACTAAAAGAATCTTCTGTTGTGACTTTTCATTCTGTAAATATCAGTTGTCTGGCTGTCATTCAGATATCTTCTGCCTAAATACTTTTGGGGAGGTTTACTAAAACTAAAGCACACAGAATCTGGTGCAGCTGTGCACAGTAACCAATCAGCTTCTAACGTCAGCTTTAGAGATGAGCGAAGTATTCAAAAATTCGATTCGGCTGATTCGGCGAATTCGAGGAATAAATTCGATTCGAGGCGAATATATTCGCTGCAAATTTAACTTAACTAGGGTTGAATTCCACCTTGTTGCAACGTCACAGCATGAGGAGTCGGTACGGGGGCCCATGGCAGATTACGGGCCTGGCAGCAGCAATGGGAGGCCCGTAATCTGCCAGCACCCTATGACAAAATGGAACCCACCAGCAGTGTGAGGAGACCTGAAAGTGGCACATGGCAGAGTGTGGCGATGGAGACAGCAGCAATGGGAGGCCGTACAGGGACCCATGAGACACTCTGGACCTGGCAGCAGCATGAGGAGGCGGTACGGGGGCCCATGGCAGATTACGGGCCTGGCAGCAGCAATGGGAGGCCCGTAATCTGCCAGCACCCTATGACAAAATGGACAGCACCAGCAGTGTGAGGAGACCTGAAAGTGGCACATGGCAGAGTGTGGCGATGGAGACAGCAGCAATGGGAGGCCGTACAGGGACCCATGAGACACTGTGGACCTGGCAGCAGCAGCATGAGGAGGCGGTACAGGGGCCCATGGCAGATTACAGGCCTGGCAGCAGCAATGAAAGGCCCGTAATCTGCCAGCACCCTATGACAAAATGGAACACACCAGCAGTGTGAGGAGACCTGAAAGTGGCACATGGCAGAGTGTGGCGATGGAGACAGCAGCAATGGGAGGCCGTACAGGGACCCATGACAGATTACGGGCCTGGCAGCAGCACGAGGAGGCGGTACAGGGGCCCATGGTAGATTACGGGCCTGGCAGCAGCAATGGGAGGCCCGTAATCTGCCAGCACCCTATGACAAAATGGAAACACACCAGCAGTGTGAGGAGACCTGAAAGTGGCACATGGCAGAGTGTGGCGATGGAGACAGCAGCAATGGAGGCCGTACAGGGACCCATGAGAGACTCTGGACCTGGCAGCAGCATGAGGAGGCGGTACGGGGGCCCATGGCAGATTACGGGCCTGGCAGCAGCAATGGGAGGCCCGTAATCTGCCAGCACCCTATGACAAAATGGACAGCACCAGCAGTGTGAGGAGACCTGAAAGTGGCACATGGCAGAGTGTGGCGATGGAGACAGCAGCAATGGGAGGCCGTACAGGGACCCATGAGACACTGTGGACCTGGCAGCAGCATGAGGAGGCGGTACAGGGGCCCATGGCAGATTACAGGCCTGGCAGCAGCAATGGGAGGCCCGTAATCTGCCAGCACCCTATGACAAAATGGACAGCACCAGCAGTGTGAGGAGACCCTGAAAGTGGCACAATGGGCAGAGTGTGGCGATGGAGACAGCAGAAAATGGGAGGCCGTACAGGGACCTATGACAGATTACGGGCCTAGGCAGCAGCATGAGGAGGCGGTAACAGGGGGCCCATGGCAGATTACAAGCCTGGCAGCAGCAATGGGAGGCCCGTAATCTGCCAGCACCCTATGACAAAATGGAACACACCAGCAGTTGTGAGGAGACCTGAAAGTGGCACATGGCAGAGTGTGGCGATGGAGACAGCAGCAATGGGAGGGCCGTACAGGGACCCATGACAGATTTAACGGGCCTGGCAGCAGCATGAGGAGGCGGTACAGGGGCCCCATGGCAGATTACGGGGCCTGGCAGCAGCAATGGGAGGCCTGTAATCTGCCAGCACCCTATGACAAAATAGACAGCACCAGCAGTGTGAGGAGACCTGAAAGTGTGGCACATGGCAGAGTGTGTGGCGATGGAGACAGCAGCAATGGGAGGCCCGTACAGGGACCCATGAGACACTGCTGGACCTGGCAGCAGCATGAGGAGGCGGTACGGGGGGCCATGGCAGATTACGGGCCTGGCAGCAGCAATGGGAGGCCCGTAGGATCTGCCAGCATCCCTATGACAAAATGGACAGCATCCAGCAGTGTGAGGAGACCTGAAAGTGGCACATGGCAGAGTGTGGAAAATGGAGACCAGCAGCAATGGGGAGGCCGTACAGGGAACCCATGAGACACTGTGGACCTGGCACGCAGCATGAGGAGGCGGTACGGGGGCCCATGGCAGATTTACGGGCCTGGCAGGCAGCAATGGGAGGCCCGTAAATCTGCCAGCAACCCCTATGACAAAATGGGACAGCACCAGCAGTGTGGAGGAGACCTGAAAGTGGCACACTGGCAGAGTGTGGCGATGGAGAACAGCAGCAATGGGAGGCCGTACAGGAACCCATGAGAGACTCTGGACCTGGCAGCAGCATGAGGAGGCGGTACGGGGGCCCATGGCAGATTAAGGCCTTGCAAGCAGCAATGGGAGGCCCATAATCTGCCAGCACCCTATGACAAAATGGACCCGCACCAGCAGTGTAGAGGACTGACCTGAAAGTGGCACATGGCAGAGTGTGGCGATGGAGACAGCAGCAATGGGAGGCCGTACAGGGAACCCATGAAGACACTCTGTCCTGGCAGCTGCATGAGGAGGCCGTACAGGGACCCATGGCAGAATAAAGGCCCCTGGCAGCAGCAATGGGAGGCCCGTAATCTGCCAGCACCCTATGACAAAATTGGAACACACCAGCAGTGTGAGGGGGGGGGGGACGGAAACCTGAAAGTGGCACTTGTCAGAAAGTGTGGGTGATGGAGACAGCACCAAGTAGGAGGCCGAGTACAGGGACCCATGAGACACGTGTGGACTCGTGGCAGCAGTCATGAGGAGGCGGTACAGGGGCCCATTGCAAGATTACCAGGCCTGGCAGCACAGCAATGGGGATGCCCGTAATCTGTCAGCACCCCTATGACAAAAGGGAACACACACCAGCAGTGTGGAGGAGACCTGAAAGTGGCACAATGTTTGGGGCATGATTCATTGCTGGGGGGGGGCGGGGATTATGTCAGTTGTGTCAGGAACTGGTGGGGTTTGAAATCCAGACTAATCCACACGCCTGATTCATTTTCACCAAACTGAGATCTCTCTCACACTTGGGTGGACAGTCGTGTCCTCCGCGGAGTACAATACCCCTCCGCACTACACACGCGCTCCCGATTGCCACGCTACTGGCCGGGCTATGACAGCCTTCAAGGGCAAATTACAGCAGTTGGGCCAAGGTCCAAGTTTCGTTGCCGCAGTATCATGGGATTGTCTACCCGGTTGGCAGGGGCTGTCCAAGTAGGCCCAAGCCTGTTTGTTTGAGTCCGGCTCCAGGTCAACCTGATGCTGCTGCTGCTCCGGCTGGTTAGAAGTTTCCTCACTGCGCCGGGGAAGAAAGCTACTCATTTTATGCTGCCCGACTTTGGGAAACCGCTGGGGTGGAGGGTGCACGGGTCCTACCCCCCCAACCCCCCCCCTGCTGCCCCGGCAGCGGGAAAGCGAGCGCACAGGGCCCACGTGTCTGAGGATGGACGGGGGCGCAGAAAAAGGGAGAGAAACCCAAAGGGCTACATAGGTGGTTTTTATAGTACGTTATTTTTTGGGCCCCCCTCTCAGCAGGTTGAAAAAAAGGGCCCCCAAAAAATTTTTAACGGGGAGCGAGGGGCCAACAAGGTGGACAGCCCAAAAATCTCCCTCTGTCCCGATGGTTATTATTCAGCTGTCCTAAGCAAGCAAAACCCGGGATGCTAAGGGCCATTTTGCCCCAAGGGAATTTC